ATGTATGTATGTATGTATGTGTATTCATGCAGATTCTACACGCGCCAGACATGTGGAGCCTGCAAAATAGCGGCTGCTTGGAAAGGACCGACTGCGTGGCTGGGGTGCCCCCTGCACTGAAGACATCTGGGTGCCCAGACTGCCAGATTCAACCTTGTTTTATGGGAGGTGGTTCTTGACTGGGTCTGACTAGTTGGGGTTGAAAGACAAGGAAACGAAATACGAAGCTTCATCAGATATGAAGAATGGCACCTTTGCCATAGCCATAGTTTGCCCACATGTGATGTTCTGGCCGTTGTGGCAGAGGCCGTTAGCTGCAAGTTGAGGTGCCGGCCGCCCACAAGCTTCCGACTATTCCGAGTCAGCCCATGCAAACGCAGTCGCGACAAGTGAATGGCCAAGTTGTGGCTATTTGCCCGGATGGATTGCTAGAGTTTGTGGCCTGCGGCTCCCAAACCTGATGTCTTCGAGCGTTGCGGATGGAGCTTGTGACAGATGTGCAGGTGGCTTTGCAGGATGAGCCGCACCAGGCAAGGCTTGCGGCATCGTAACCGGCGTCCTTCTCTTCATGGTTTCTCTTCTCAAGCGAGCTTTGGCAGGTGCTTGCAAAAGCGAAGCAACGGCGCCGTCGCCGAGATTCCACAGCCCAGGCTTCCTCATCAACAGAGCGGCACATCTGCAACACAGAACAGTGGAAATTATCCGTGAGGTGATAGCTCCACGACGCGTACTGGTAGCCGGCCCCAAGCTCAAGCAGAACCGGAAGCCTTTGCGGCGGGTAGCCTGGGCTTCCTGGAGAAAAGTTTCTTGCGCGAGGTGGTTGGCAACCATAGTCTGAAGTGCACCAATACCAAGTACAGCGGCCGCTGCTGCGATAAGAACCCGGGCATCAGCTGGCGCCAGTGCCATAGCCGTTGCCACCACCGCCACCGCTGCCACCAACAGCAGCAATCATCAGCCACAACTATCTACCGGGACGACACTGCTACTGACGATGAGGACTGCTGACTAATTACTGCTGCAAATGGAGCACCGGCTATTTACTGATATTATTATGTCCAGAAGGCTGATCTTGGGAATGGTAACTTGCGGCATCTTGCGGCCACAGCAGTGTAATGCTGGAGAACTGCTAACGATGTCTTTGCCGCCCCACTGTTTTGCAATCACAGGTCGGCCAGTTGGGAGTGACATAAACGCAAGAAAGCGAAGCTTGGAAACGCATGTCGCTGCTTGTTTCATGGCCTGCCTGATGGCTAAGACCGTTACCCTGAATGTCTAGCTGTATGGCTCGAGATGACAAGGAGGTTCATTGATTGAACAGTTTTACTTGCGAAACGCTGTCAGTGCCTCAAACGAGTTTTGCGAGTCAGAGGTTACGTTTCTCTTGCGCATCTGGAGCTCGAAGAGCCTTGAGGCGTCCTCCATCATGCTCCAGCACGCAGCCAGGTCCGCCTATGCTCGTCTGCTCGCGGCTGCAGTAGCAAGATTATCTTCAGGTATCATAGTGGAAATGGTAGTGACGACAATGCCGCTATGCTGAGGAACTATTGAAATCATTTTCTGTATTTGGCTAATTAGTCAAGTCACCGCCAAGTCACGGTACACAGGATTCATCAGTGTTCAGCGACTCAGCACAACAAAACAGCCAGCGCTTCGTTGCAGGACTTGGTCCCGAGCTTCTCGAAGCCTCGTTTGCCATGTGCAAGGCTTAGCAAGAAAGAGTGTGCGCGTAGACCCGGCGCCCACCCAGCTGTCGATGGCCAAGGCTGCAATGCGGCCAGTTGCGCCAGCTGCTATCCCTGCGACGTCAGTGTTGGCGTCACGATGTTTTGCAGCAGCGACAAGCTTAGCCAAGTGTCGCAGACTTTGCAATCGGAGATGCACTAAGAGCACCGAGCCGATGCAGCCTCACCACTGACCACAATTTGCACAGGCAGCAAAGAAGCCCAAGATGGAGGCGCAGAGCTTGCAGCAGTTGTTTGTCCAGTTTCCGTGCTCGCATGATTTGCAGTTTGAGGGTGGCGTCATAAGCTTGACCAAAAGCATCATCATGTATCGTCAGCTGCACGGTGCATCCTTCTCCTCCCCTACGCAATACAAACTTACCACATTCGAGAATGTCTCGAGATGGAAAGGCTCCTCAAGTGGCGAATGCCACAAGTCCTGTGATAGCAAGAGAAAGACATCGGCAATTCTGCACTGCTACGGGAACCACATCCTGCAGGCTATTGAATCAAGCAGCCATGGACAGTGACAATCTCCAAGACCAGCCCACACTCGTATGATTGGCAGACCTAAAACCGGGTTGGGTCAGTTGTATTCCACACTTCTAATTGTGGTGGCCCTTCGCAACAAGTCAAAGCTCAAGCGCAGCTGTCGCCAGACTGTCGGCTTTTAAGGAGATCACCCGAAGAAAAAGACTGCGGCCTCTCGAGGGACTCGCTCTTGGTACTTGAGAACTCTCGCTCGGAAGTGTAGATGTTTGTGTGCATCACACCTAGCTTCTTCTACATACACCCTCTCAGGCTACACGTCAGAAAACTGACCGAAAGATGCAAACAACTGCACAGAATAACGTTACAGTAGCTGCCTGACGAGCGCTGCCTGGGTTGCCAGGATGGCACCTTGGAGGGTCGATATGCAACGGCTCTCTTTATGGCATCCATGGACAAGTTGGACAAGGCTCTTTCGGTGTAGTCTAGTTGGGATTCAGGGCTGGGCAGCTGTCGTGCCGTCCTTTGTTGAATCGCAAACCCTGATTCATGCAGATCGGGCTTATCCCGATGCCAGGACTGGCAAAAGCGGAATCACTGGGGGATTGCGTGAAATGCTGTGGCAGGTCTACGGTGACTTGCAGGGGCTGCGTGAAATGATGGAGTCGTCTCAGGACGACGGGCGGCATCAGGCATCTAATTGTGACGAGTCGAGAAAGTAGACTGCCTTGAAGTGTGAGACAGCTGTGCAGCTATTAAAGTTCCGCTGCTCAGCACAAGCCAGCGCTGGCCTCTACGGCAGCAGCCGCAGCCAATACGTGCAGAGCAGCCAGCCACGCTGCGACTCGAGTCCTGTCTCTGCCGGGCTGGACATACTGTTCTCTGCATCAGCATGCTAGCCTCGATCCCCCAACCCGACAAGACAAAGCTTCATACCCCTAAGACCTGAACCTCTGGAATTCTCAGCCTGAAGCCCCAACCCCCTCTGAACCGCAGACAACTCAACCAAAGATGATTTCAAAGGAGTTCAAGTTGGCCATTGAGACTCCCGGGATCGAGCCGGAGAGCAAGGATCGTCCTCTTGCACCATGCTACCATGAACGTTAGAGTTTGTGCCACTCATCTCAGAATCATCTCCATGTCTGGGTTTTATGCAGCTGCCATGCTTCTCTTATTATGATCAGCAGCTCCAGAGACTAGGACTAGGATGCCCGCTGCTGTACCGAGTTCAGTGGCAGGTGGCCGCCTTCGAGGCTGTCTGCAAGAAAGCCTCCATTGATGGTGCAGTCCTGAACTTCCTGAAGGCTGCTTGGAACCTCTTGAATGGCCGTTGAGCATGTCAGGGTTGTTGCACAGGTCACCTTTACAAGAGGGACCATGGGATATACTCTTGAGAGAAGAAAATGTGAGAAAATCCTCAAGGGAACCTACCTTGGGCCCTCTTTCGGGACTGATTTTTTGGAAAAGCTGGACGAGCTTGGGCTGGTAGGTCTTGGTGGAAAACAAGCGGGCCCATCTGCTGTCCCGCATGATCGATATCTTTGAGGCCCAGCCGCAGTCCTGCCGTAATGATGGTTGCGGATCCCGCTCCGAGCAACTAGAAGATGGTCGATGATTCTAAGTCAAGCTTTGCATGAGCAGGCGAGCATGGCTGTCCGATGTGTGAAAGGGCACTTGATCTTGTCGTGCCGATCAGAACTTCTACCGCGCAGAGAAGAACTTGGTTCTCTGCAAGGCACGGCACTTGAAGCCAGACCCCGCTGTGAGCTGCTTCTCTTCTCAAGGCACCTTAGCTTGTCCTCTTATGCAAGCTCCAGGTGACCTCTGCAGCTTCCCTGTCGGATGGCCAGAAAAAGCAGGCAAGCAGCAGCTGCCAGCGGATTTGCGTGCGCTGCGGCAAATGAAAGTTCCGCTGCAGGTTCAGGCAGCTATGCAGAAACGGGCTGAGGGCTGCGGCCTCAGTGACATCAGCAACCGCTGGCTGAGCCGGAGTTTGGATAAGATGCTGTTAGGTGTCGCGGTGCTCACTACCTCGCTGCTCCATGTGCTCCCGAGACAATCATGTCCTAGCTTGTTTTCTTGTTGGCTTGTTTGCATTGTCATGTTTTGTGTCATGCAATGTGCTTTCTGTTCTATGCCCGAAGGCCTCTCTTTGTGCCTCGCATTCGCTTTTTGCAAGGTATATGTATATGTGTGTTTATATATATATATATACAGAGCAAGCCAGGCACGAGGGCACATAGTGCATACTTGTGAGGGATTGATCGACTGCCTCAGACGACCGAGGCTCCAAGCTTATCATGGAGTATAACACCAATCCAGCATTGCACGCACCTTAGAGCAGAGCAGAAGTGGGGGCCTGGATGCCGCTCGACAGCTTCAGCTGCCATGAAGACTCTCGGTAGCAGGGAGCTGGTACAGATTCCAAGGCTTGGAGGCCTTGTGGTGAAGATGGACGAGGCATGAACCGCATTCTGCCGTGCTGCCAGAGATCTGACTTATCATTTGACTCTTCTGATGCTCATAGCAGCCCAAACCCCATCCCATACTGCACAGTCCTGACTGCTGGGTGAATGTAACCTGCCTCATCTTTCAGGCCGTGCTCGATAACTCGGTATCCACACGCTTGGAGCGTTTGCAGACGCAGCTATTGGCACCAGTGTAACTTCACCGCGAAAGCCGACAGCTGAGCTGCATTGCTGAAGCTGGTCTTTGCTGCCACAGGTGTTTCCGTGTGTTTCGAGGTATTGAATCACTTCCAACTGGCTTGAGCTGCTCAATCGGCCCCCTTTTTAGGCATGGCATATCGACATACGCGGCGGAGAAAAGGGCGCCAGGGACATCCATGCAAGCTGGCCAGCTTTCCAGCAACCATTACCATTACCCTGCAGGTTCGCCCATGTCATGTGCTGCATCCGTCCTTGCGCAGATCCTTTCTAAAGCTTCTCAGACGAAGCGTAGAGCTGAAAACATCGGGCCTGCTGCTAAACATGACATGAGCTTTGAGCCAAAATGCCACCCTGAAAAGACTCCTGGTACCAGCCTGCTTAGGCCAGAAGTCCGAGTGCAGTATTCCCCAGCGGCATGAACTTGCATGAAGCAGCACTGCAGCAACATCGAAAGCTCAGTTTAGGACGCAGTGCAGCAGCCCGTTCACCAGAGACTCTGTGATGGCAGTGAGGTGGCCGCACAATGGCAACGGCAGCTTTGGGCGAGAGCGGTTTCCAAGGATCGCTTGAACGATGACAGAGCATGTCTGCATAATACAATCAAGATAACAAGACGAACAAAGACCTACTATAACGACACGAAAAAGAATAGCAGCAGAAAAGGTAGCATCATCATCACCATCATCATGTCATATTGCATACATATATATATATATATGTACGTATGTATGTATCAAATATGTGTGTATATGTTTGAAAGAAAGCATATATATATATATATAGAGTGCGAAATAATACTAGAAACTGTAGCTATAAATAGCGAAAAGAAATCTGAATATACATAAAACAAATAAGCAATTACAACTACCAATCATGTATAGTTATATTTGTATATGGATAGATAGATAGATAGGTAGGTAGATAGGTATATTAAAATCTAGATAGAAAGATAGATAGATGGGTATATAGATAGATAGATGGATAGATGGATAGATGGATAGATGGGTAGATGGGTAGATGGGTA